CTTTCCTTTTTAGTCCATACTATCAATTCTCTTTCTTCATATGTTCACCTTCCAACGGAGTCTTCTCACTTTCTTGGTCCAAAGTAGGTTATGTTACCAACTTTAAATCATTAATGAGTATATATACTCAAGTTAAGTTGCTCAATTTTCAAACACAATTCTTTGTTCATGGTATCATCCGAAACTTCTTAGCTAATCTCTCCTTTGCTAAGGGGATCGGCACGACTTTTTCTTTCCCAGGCGATATCACTTTTCCAAGTCATAATCTTGATCAATACCATACCAACGATGATATCATATGCTCAAAATGTCTTCGGATGGAGAAATGACCAAAACAAAAGTTGTAGATCTCGAAAAGTTATATAACTTTGTAGTTGACAACTTTTTTATTTGAAATCATCTTGTCAAAGAAAACTACGTTTGAATTTCTCATATTTGAAATTTGAATTTTTCAAACATCCTCGGATGGAGAAATGACCAAAATAAAAGTTATAGATCTCGAAAAGTTATGTAACTTTTTAGTTGACAACTTTTTATTTGAAATCATCTTGTCAAGAAAAACTACGTTTGAATTTCTTATATTTGAAATTTGAATTTTTTAAACGGCCTCGGATGGAGAAACATAAAAAACGTAAGTTGTAAACCTCGAAAAGTTATACAACTTTATAGTTGACAACGTTTTCATTTAAAATCATCTAGCTAAGGACAATTATGGCTAAATTTTCAACATTTAAAATTTGAATTTTTCAAATAACCTCGGATGGAGAAACGATCCAAACCAAAGCTATAGATTTTGAAAAGTTATACAACTTTGTAGTTGACGACATTTTCATTTGAATTCGTTTAAACTCCCAAACACTCATTTTTAATTTAGTTGAGTATAATATGAGTAGAATATCTGCTATAGACACAAGTGAGTGTGAGGTGCAGTGGTTAGTGAAGTACCGCGTGATGCGGGAGTTCGCAGGTTCGAACCTCGGCAGCTGAAGCGCTCATTTTTCGCGCGAAAAATCATGTGTGGCTGCCCTGTGGGGCCTTCAGGGATTTAAAAAAAATTGCTATTCTTTTTTGTCCAGATTTGATAATTCTGGAAAACAGATTTGTAAGTGCGGGCCAACCGCCCCTACAAATCATTGATTTGTAGAGACGGTGGGTAGGGGCGGCTCGTCCAACCGCCCCTGCACATCTTGAGCCGCCCCTAAAAAGGCTCGCTGGCGTAGTGAATACGACTTCGATTTCAAACTTCTGACTAGATGGGTCTGAAAATTTGAATCTGCACACATGTCAACAGAGGTTTGGTGTGGATGTCGCATGCCATTTTGTCGTCTAGGTTTATCTCAGCAGCTCGATACACCCAGCGGTGGTAAGCGAGACGGTCGTGTTTTGGACCGGCATTGTTTTTGTTCTGAACGCGTGTTTAGGTATGAGACAAGATTGTCTTAGCCCTTAACTGTTTTTGGTTTTCCTTTTAATTTTTCTAGATGCTTCTTTACTATTGATGTATTTCATTTTAATTTTTATGTATTGCACAATTACAATAACGTCAACTTCCCATAAATAATATTTTTATGGTACATACATGTATAGTTGCACAAGTTTAAATGTCGTCTATGTGCTGGTGCATTTAAAAAGTGTCCATTCCCGTCTATATCTATGTGAACTTAACAAGCATGCCACATATATATATGACTGGCAACTATATTAGAACCAGTTGCCAGCTATATATTTCGGAGTCTTTTTTGCCTTCTCTGCATCTTCATCTACGAAGAATCCTCGACTTGAAACCATAGAGATAAAGGCCTGATCTTTGAATAGGAAAAAGAATGGATCCAAAGGTCACAGATAGATTCTCGTAGAAATATTTCAGATCCAGATTCTCTCAAGAAACATTTCGGATGGCGAATCATGTGAAATCACGTTTTCACTAATTCATGTTTGTAGGTAGAAAAGTGACAATGGCTCAGAATTTTTTCAAGCAGAAACGTTTCACCTATGATTCACGGTGCCAAAACCCACCCTAAAGTCTAACAAAAAGTCAAAGCTAAAGACTAGTCATTTTGAAACTTGCCCGAGAGTAGATGGAAGACTAATTAAGAAGAGGACCTCCAAAACGAAGACCAAACCTGCCGTCCACGATCCATCCTCCAGCCCCTGGTCCCTTGGTCTAAGTCTCCGCCTCTGCCCTTCACCGTTTCCAGTCTATAGCGCACGGACTCCTGGTTGAGTTTCTCCGTTACCGTTGACCAACACACGTTCAACACCTACACATCACATTCCAAGAAACATGTTGCATACACAACTACTCATGCCTTGGTTAGTTCCACACACAATTAACCAAAGCTCTGATTATCTCTTTGACAATCACTTGTCACTCACTAATTGGGCGCATATCAACCATGTGTTTGCATCTTTTTCCTACGCCATTTGGCATGGCACCGCAATAGCTTTGCTGACTCTACATTTGGGAACAACAACCTCTGCATGTGAGACATATAGGGAAAGACCACGAGACCTTTACGGGGCCTCCTTTGGTCCTACTGCTAACATCTGTCTTGCCATGCTTGTACCATAGAGCTTCGCACACTTTGGGCAAGTCTTTAAATGTATTTCCATGGTATAATATGCAATCACCGGCACACACATGGATTTTTTAGTTCGTTGTCAATCATACAGGTCATTTTCTTCGCCTCGTATGTCGTCTCTGGTAACTCGTTAAGGCTTAGTAACAGTTTCTTGAGTACACATAACAAGTCTCAAAAGCCCTTATCAAACAAACCATGAGTAGATTTCATTAGCTCTATTAGCCAGACGTCATATTCCAATTTGCTCACCTTGCAACCATATACAACCCTATCTTACATCCTTCCTCATTTTATCCAACATTTTCAACTGTTTGGACTAAGAAAACCTAGCTCCAAACCTTGCAAATCTTAGAAATGGCATCTTCCATGGTATTGTCAGCTAACATATTCCAAAAAACATCGTTAACCACCACTTCCCTTTTGACACTTGTTTCCTCATTAACAACCTCTACCCTATTGACACCTCCTATGTCAGGGATACTCTCATCATCGCCACCCTGGTAATCCGCTATGTTGTCACCCTCTTCCCCATACTTAGTCCATATCGTATAGCCTTCCATGAAACCCTGGGTAATCAAGTGAGAGATTACATATGCTTGGGATAACAATATTGCCTACGATTCATGCAATACCTGCATGGGCAACATATATAGCCTTCATTCAGTGGATTACATGTGGCATAGGTCCATCACAAATCGACGGTCCGTAATGGAGGGACCTTACATCCATCCCCAATCTATCTATTAACAAAAAAATAGGTATGGCATTGGACTTAGTTAAAGTTCCAAACTTATGCATGCATAAATTGTGATACTAGAGAATCAACCAATAAATTGTGTTCCAAACTTATTAACCGCATCACTTGAGAATTAACCATACTATCTAGAAATTAAATGCTTACTAGCTAATAGCCTCAAATTAAAGTGGTTCATCAAATTTTGGTAGCCCTCATGAACAATTTTATTCTCTGCTACATTAATTAAAATGCAAAACTAAATGAACTAACTAAGCCATGCCAAGCCATTTAATAGAAAGTCAATATACTATCCTTAAGTTGAATCATCCTTGCTAGCCAATAACCTCAAATTAAAGTACCAGTGCCACACGGGTTCATCGAAAATTGGTATCTTTCATGAATAATTGTTTTCTATGCTACACAAATTAAAATGTAGAAACTAAATGGACCGGGAGGAAGAGGGTGGTCGGCAGAAAATGAAATTAGAGAAAAGGGAGAGAAAAGAAAAGTGATTTTGGCCTAGAACAATTTTAAACATTTTATAAATTTGCATGTCGCTTTTCCAAACTCTGTTTAAACTATTTGAATAAACTTGGTTTAAAATAAATAGATATTAAGCTTATTTTGTAAACTAAATTTGAATATTAACTTTGGAATAAAATTTGGAAATAATTTAAACAATATTTTCAGCATTTTTGAAATTCAATTTTAAACTAGTTTTGAAAATATACTTTGAAACTTTATTACTTTTTGAAATAATAAAAATCTATTTAGTCTTAAATGAATTTTCTAAATTCATTTTCCATCTGATAAAAATCAATGCAAAGACATGAATGCAACAAACATATCAAATTAAACTATAAATATTCGAGAAAATAAAATTTTGCAATGTTTAAATGTAAACGACAACCTAGCTAATTATGTCTTAGAGAATTATAAAGTCATTTAGTTTATTTAGTGTTTTCTATTCACAACACAAAATGAAAATTGTGGGATGTGACACAGTTCATCAATCGCCAAAACTATAGTTACTCCATAAAAGTGCCAGGATGTGTTCAACCGCCTCTAAAAATAAAATGGTGAATCCTAAAAAATCATTTTTATTGCAGTGCTCAGTGTCTTAAATCGGGAACAAATCGTTTATCAGGATTGCTTTATGGCAAATCAAATCGTACTTGTACTAGGACACAAGAGAGTTGTGCTATTATGACTTATAATGCTATTAAAATTCGATTACATAATTCCTACCAAGAATAGGACTCCTACTTGCGTGTATAGGGCGTTGGAGAGGACTTTCTAAATAGGAGGATCATCCAAGACTTGTATTGGTGCAAGCAGGTTGTCTCATACCTGCAATATATCCTCTTAAAGATTCCATAATTGTTGCTCATAATTAGGGTATAAGATTCTAGTAAGAACATATACAGTACACAATATTATGAAACTCCTGACAGGCATGTCTGCATCAATACTTCACCATCGCTCAAATAAACCAAAATTACAATAACACAAACATACAGTTTAGGTCTTGTTTGGATCTAGTCGGATTCGCATCAATCCACATGTGTTCGGGTGGATTGGAGTGGAACTTGAACTAAATTCCACTCCAACCCACTCCAACACATTTGGACTGAGGCAAATCCGATAACATCCAAACAAGGCCTTAAGGATTTTAATAATATTCAAATTTCCATAGCATGCTCGTAAGGCGTTGCCACAAGCCGCAGCTGGTTTGTTCTCCTTGCTGTTGCTCCAACTGTGGTGTCCATGTCAAGCTCCTCAGACCGGAATCCAGCCGGAAGGCTCCAATCAAAGTAGTACAGGAGCCGCACCACAATAAGCTCTAGGGTCGCCAGTCCGAAGCCCATGCCAGGACACATCCTCCTCCCACCACCGAATGGCAAGTACTCAAGCTGCGTTCCCTTGTAATCCGCTGCAGTTGCTAGGAACCTCTCAGGCTTGAACTCCTCAGGGTCATCCCAATGCTTGGGGCTTCTGGCCATAGCCCACGCGTTGATTATCACTCTGGTATCTTTGGACACCTCGAACCCAGCGACGTTGCAGGTTTCGCGGCAGAGGCGGGGGAGCAGCAGCGGTATGGATGGGTGCAGCCTCAGTGTCTCCTTGATCACCATGCCGGTGTAGTTCAGGCCGCCCAGGAGCGACTCCTGGTCGCCTGGATTCTTGTTGTTGAGTGCTTCCCGCACCTCTGCTTGCGCCTTTGCCATTGCTTCCGGGTTCCTCATGAGTTCAGACATGACCCACTCGGCCGTAGATGAAGTTGTCTCGGTGCCTCCTATGAATAAATCCTAGATCGATGGAGCACAAGCAGTAAGAGGATACATGCATGTACGTCGAAGGGAAGAAAGAAGTGAAAGAACAGATATGAGAACACTAGCTACTGCTCCTCGTTTAGTGAGATCGAACACTAGTGAATGATTAGAAGATTCCATTCAAATCAAATTAAGAGAGGGGAGGAGCAACAACACTTACAGTAATGACTGCTTTGATGTGTGTAATGTTGAACGGGAACTCGAACTCCTCTTCATCTTTGATTCTAAGCATGATGCTCAGAATGTCATCTCCGTCCTCAGCATTCTTTACCTTCCGCCTCGCCTCGCATGCGTCAATGATCTGGCCCAACACCTGGTCGAGCTGCTCATGCGCCATCTGCAGCCGGCGTCGCATCCCTGTGGCGACGTCCAAGAACCACAAGGACGGGAAGAGGTCGGAGACGCAGAAACCCGAGCAGTCGCTCAGTACGACGGCCATCACTGACAGGAATTTCTCCTTGTGCTCGCTGCTGAAGCGATCGCCGAAGGTCGCCAGCCCAGTGATGGAGTTAGAACACGACACCAGCAGGCTGCCGAGGTTGAATGGCTCGCCGGCGCCGCATGAACGGCGGATCTCCCTGACGAGGGACATGGTCTCGCTGTCCCTGATGGGCGCGAGCTGCTTCACCTTGCGCGTGCTGAGGAGCTCCATCGTGCACAGCTTGCGCAGCTTCCTCCAGTAGGCCCCGTAAGGAGCGAAGGCAAAGTCGTGGCCTCCATAGCCGATTATCTCCACGGAGAGCAGGTGCGGGCGCGACGCGAAGTTGATGTCCTGGTCCCGGAGCACCACCTGCGCGACCTCCGGCGAGGAGACCACCACTGTGTCCGTCTGCCCCAGCCGGAGGTACATCACCGGGCCATATTTCTCGGCGAGGTCGCGGAGAGTGGCCTGCGGCTGTGAGGTGAGCAGGTGGTGGATGCTTCCGATGAAGGGGAGGGCCCATGGGCCAGGGGGGCGCTTCTTCTTCGATTTCGCTCCAGTTTTGTGGCTAAGAGATGATACAAGGATAGTCACAGAGATGAGGAACAAGAAGAGGAGTAGGGCACTTGTGCTTAGCATTGTCGATCAACGATGAGCACTTGGCTTGCTTTGCTTGCCTGTCTGCCTGATATAGTACATATATATAGATGATAGAACCACTAGTGTGCTTAGGATTTCTACTTCTTTCAGTTAATTTAATGTAGTGACGTCCCAGTGTTTAGACTTTTTGAAAACTCTAGTGGTAGTGGTACCCACCTCCAGCGCGCGGATTGTTAAAACCTGGCTGGGTGATTGGAGAACAGACACGGTTAGAACTCATCCGTGTCTCCAGAAATATCTAGAGAACTTTAGAGGCTGTCCATATATTTATTTAGTCTCTAAAATTGATTCACAGAGATAGGCCTCTTAAGAGGTTCTCCTCTAAAAATAGACCGAGGCCCGTGTTGAAACATTATTATAACAACTATTGTCAGATCAATATTGATGATTTAATTTTGAACACTGTTTTTATATAAAACAATATTTCTACACATTTATTTATTCGATATAACATATTCAACATCTTTATTGCTTTTGACTAAACATGTGGAGAGAAAAATTAATTACAACAACTAGATTAAAAGTTGAAAGCTACGTTATACATTCATGATGTCATGAAAAAAGGATGCAGTAAGAGCTAATATAACTAATGCGATTGTGTAAACAGCATAAAAGCCACCCGTGAATATATGCCAAATTATCCACCATACTATTAAGAAACATGATCTAACCTAAACTTAAATTTGCTTCTAATTATCCCACCTGCTATTATGATAGATAATACAAGTAACCCCTTAAATTTGCATCTAAAATACTACTCCCCCCATTTTAAATTATCAGACGTTTTGGCTTTTTTTAGATATATAGTTTTTGCTATGCACTTAGATATATACTACGTCTAAATACATAGCAAAAATAATGTATCTACAAAAGTCAAAACTTCTTATAATTTAGAACAGAGCGAGTACTTGTAACATTACTAAATAAACTAAAACCCTCAAATTTAATTTACTAAATCATTAGCATATTCTATTACAAAATGGTTAAAGAACCATAAAATATGTACATATGTTTCAAAATTACCTACTTCTATTAATATTAATGTAATAAAATTTGATTAAAGTAACATACATGTTGTGTCATCATATAGATTATGAAGACATACAAGCAAGAGAAATAAATATTATATGTTATGTTTCTGTAACCATGAAAAATATTTCCCAGTTGACTCATAGACTAATGATACTAACAAATTATTTAAAATTATATTAATAAAAATGACATATAATTTATATAATCTTTTAGTTTTGATATATTTATCAATTTTAACAAAAATATTTGACATGCATATATTGATAGTATAATCATTATTGCACATATAACTCTTTGATTGGAAAATACAAACATCGTATTGAGAAGTGGGGGAGGTTAGTGTAGACCAAAGATGACTATATCTTGTTGGCCTTTGAAATTCTTTTAGAGCAAACTGTCATTATAAGACATAAATATTAATATCCTCTTGAGTTTAGTACCGCTACTATTGACACTAATGGTGGCACATAGATGAAATCGCAAGTGCACGGCTATCATAGTAGCTTTCACCTTGGAGTATTCTAGAGTATCGATTTCCATGGGGTTGTTCTGGTGGTGCTAGCGGTCAGACCGTGGATCTAGTCGGTTTGACCGCGGCCAGGTACTACACGTAGAAGTTTTCAAATCTTCCGGCACTTTTTCTAGAGGTTTGATGTGGCAAGGTACCAGAGAGAGGGGCTCTATTGTGGGCCTTGGGCGTGTTCGGTAGTACCACGTGATCAGACCATGGCCATGGTCGGTTTGACCGCCAGCGCATGGAAAGTGCATGGGAAGAGCTATTTTTGTTTGAACTCATTGGCGCTTTCTCCGGTTGTGCTTCAAGGAGAGCATTGGAAGTTTTGGAGGTTGCTAGAACCTTCTTTAGAAGGTTGGGGAAGGCACTAGAATCTTCTCGTGGTAGAACTAGAGAAAGACTAGACTTTAGGCTTGGAGTTTTGACCAATGAAGAGATAGCCATTGGCGGGCTGTCAATAGCCGTTGGGCCACGGTGGTCTGACCGCCAGGGTGCTGTGGTCTGACCACGAGTCGAACACGAGCCATCGAAAACACCTAAACAGCTACTTGGCTTTCCCCCTCTATAAATAGAGGGGTGACCAAATATCAGAGGTCTCTTGGCACTTTAGGAAAGTGATACACATCATGAGAGCCTCATTTCTTCCTCCCTCTCATTCATTTTCTTGTGAGCATTATCTCTGGAGAGTGGTTGAGTGATTCTAATTCGGTGGATTGGGCGATTGCATTGAGTGGCACTAGGTGATTGTGTTGCAAGCAGGTAATGCTGGTTACTCTTTGAGGTTTCCATGTCCTATATGGCTTGGAGATTGTGACTTCACGGAAGCTCACAAGGAGATTGTGCGGTCCTCCCGATAAGGCAATGCACGGGGCTCTTGGGCTCATCCCCATTAGAGGTAAGTGAGGAGAGACTATAGTAAAAGCTAGGCGTGGAGAGTGTCAATGTAGCACTCGGTTTTAAGAATAAAACCAGATACACACCATATGTGAGACCAGGAAGTCAAATCTCATATATAGCTACAAATAAGGGTAATATCATAACACCATGCTTATTACATAGCGTATTAGTATAAACAATACAACCTCAGAGTATAAACAGCGGAAAGACAACTCCAATCTTCAGGTGAAGACTCCACTTCCAAAGGGACAACTGACTGATCGATCACAAGCCTAATTCCTCCAAACTCTAACAATCTGGTACCCATCCGGGATTTTTCCAAAGATTTAAAAAGTAAAGCAAGCGTAAGTACATATCGTACTCAACAAATATAACATGTGGTTCATGAGGCTCAAAAGGCTAACACTGGTTTAACTGTGATTAGCTTTTAATTGTCATAATTTTAGCATAGGAGTAGCAACAAGTTTATCACAAGCCCATATAAACACATGATCAGGTAAACATGAATAATGAATAGCATAAACAGTAATCATTAGTGAGCATTTTCATTATCAGTATCATCCGTGTTCATCATCTATTCCGTAAGTGTTCTAAGGCCGCTCGTGACCGTGAGCATGGCTGATATACCAGTTTTACACTCTGCAGAGGTTGTACACTTTCACTGTGAGTCGTGATTTAGCCTTTCGTCCAAGGTAGCTAATCTCTTGACCCACTTCCAAGGAAGGTCGGCAGGGTTCACTATGAAGCCTATCAAAGGTTCGTCTAACAAGTTAGGGCCATTAGATTCACTCGACAAATAGATGTTGAGCCCCCCTTCCTGATGGCACTGTAAGGAAAATTGACCCTAGGCCCATTTACTTTGGATTTTGGTGTTTGATGACGAACACAACCAAATTGGACTAATTAATTTGCAAGTAATTGTTTTGTAATTCAATAGGGTGCAAGATATGACTTGGACGAAGGCGACATGATGATCCCACGATCAACACCATAAGCAAGACCTTAGAAACACTAGAAAAGACCCAAGATATCAAGCAAACTCCAAGCATGAAGATGGGAACGAAGCCGTATGCAAAATCATGAAGAAACGAGCTCGGCAAAAGTGACCGGATGCAGCCCTAGGAGGACTGGACGTGTCTAATCAGTTGCTTGACAACAGCAGGCGTCAGCGGTTGTTACCAGACACACGGACTTCACTGTTCATCATGACGGCAATGTTTTCAGCATGATCGGACACAGCGGCACTGGATGACCAGACGCACAAAGTGCAACGTCCGATCGAGTCCAGAGAGGTTCCAGAGCGGCGCCAGCGTGACCGGACGCATCCGATCGAGTGTGACCGGACTCGGCCCACTGATCAACGCACGCGCTTCAACGGTCGGGATGACCGGACGCATCCGATCAAGACGTCAGCAGTGTTCGATTAGTAGTAGAAAGCTGGGTTTCGCCCCGAACGGCTACTTTCTCTATGGGGCTTATAAATAGACCCCCAACCGGCCATTTGTGTAGTGGAGAACTGAGAAAACATACCAAGGGTGTTGATACACCATTTTAGTGATCTCCACTTGCATAGTGCTTACTGATTCATTAGGTGATTAGCGTAGGTGCTTTGCGAAGTGACCTTATGCGCTTGCTCTATGTTTAGGCCTAGTGTTTAGTGAGGTTTGCATACCTCTTACCACTTGGTACTTGCATGCACCATTGTTGTATATCAGAGGGGCTTGTAGTCTTGCGAGATCACACCAACTGCGTTTGTGGTGTGGCCGCCACCGTGTACCGAAGGGAACAAGGCCCGCGGCGGTTTAGCCGGAAGCTTGATAGTGAAGACGGCGGGGAGCGGTCCGGGAGAGGCTTGCCGGAAGGCACACCAGAGACCCACTTGCGCGTGGGGAAGGCCCGAGCTATCCACGGAGTTACTGGACTGGGAGCTTGGCCCTTGCGAGGGATTTCATGCGAGGGGCTTCAACGAGGACTAGGGGGAAGCTTGCGCGCTTCTTGATACCTCGGTAAAAATACCAGAGTTATCGATGGGAGTTTGCATATCTCTACCTTGCTCTTTAGCTTCTGTATTTACACTACAATCTTGGTTTGCGCTTTACTTTTCTAGCTTAGTGATAGTCTAGTTGATAGGTTTGGAACCTTGGTTGCATAACTCTTTTGTGGTAGTGATAGCAACACACTTAGCAAAACTATAGTTGCACATCTAGATAGATTACTTCTTGCATAGGTTTTGACTAGGTGGAATTAGAGGCCATAGTTTAGAGTAGAATTTTAAGTTGCCTAATTCACCCCCCCCCTCTTAGGCATAATGATGCGCAGCCTATACACAAGGGGACAGAGGCCGCACTATACCTGATTCGGCAAGCCATTCTTACACCGATAAAGGTAACCACTAATAAGCTAGAAAAGGTCCTCATACTAAGCTAAAGCCAGAGCCATATAGCCCTCACAGTTATACTGTAAGTCCCGAATGATCACTTACAGATAAGTCCTTAGGGAGAGGAATCTAGAGCACCATAAAAACAGCCCAATGCTC